TTACACGTTACCTCTGAAATAACTATTTCTTTTTAATTTTAGCCGATGAACTTTCTGTGTGGGATCAAACTTTTCATATTATCTTATTTTGATGAAATAAAGCTATTTAAAGAGAGCAATGTACTTTGCACTGATACAGAATAATTACATTTGAAAAACGAATGAATAAAGGGAAAGTTTTGGAGACAAAAATAAAGGAAGCCTTTTACCAGCTTGTTAGGCAGAGGATCTTAGATTTTCGTAAACCTTAAACTACATTTTTCTTTTAGAAATTACTTACTAAGTCCTACAAGCCAGACAGGCAGGTTTTCCCAATGGCATTCTAAATTGAAAGTGAGCAATAGTGATCTTGGACATTAGCCAATTTCAATGCAAATCTGCTTTGTACTAGAGGGCAAGCCAAATCTCCTAAAAACAACATCCTGCTGTTTCTGAAGATCTGTAATACTCTCGTCTTTCCGTGTTAGTATCAAGAAAATCAAGTGTGTGGGTTTTTATTTTTTTTAAATAATGAACACCATGGTGCATGCCCAGCAATAGCAATATAGGACTGTTGCTTTACTAGGAAATGTGAAATAAACATTGAAATGTAGCATAGTTGTTTGATTTTCATCCACTATTTGGTACACAGTTGTGCATCAGGGCCCACAGACCCAGATCCTCAAGTGATATAAACTAGCAGAATTCCATTAAAGTCAATGGAGCATCGGCAATTTACATAGCTCGGAATCTGACGTATGGCCTTAAACAAGGACATATGAAATAGCTATAATTACCTGTATTGATAGTGAAGGTCTCACATTCCTTTTACAGTACCACTGAGGGTCAGAATGAAGAGTATTTGTTAAAGTTAGTGAGAATGGTTATTTTTTACGCTCTGAAAATGAGAAGTGGATTGTCAACATTTCTTAGGCTGTGTCTAGACTACATGCCTCTGTCGGCAGAGGCATGTAGATTAGACACATAGGCAAAAGCAAATGAAGCCGCGATTTAAATGATCGCAGCTTCATTTACATTTACATGGCTGCCGCGCTGAGCCGACAAACAGCTGATCAGCTGTTTGTCGGCTCAGCGCGGCAGCCATGTAAATGTAAATGAAGCCGCGATTTAAATGATCGCAGCTTCATTTACATTTACATGGCTGCCGCGCTGAGCCGACAAACAGCTGATCAGCTGTTTGTCGGCTCAGCGCGGCAGCCATGTAAATGTAAATGAAGCCGCGATCATTTAAATTGCGGCTTCATTTGCCTTTGCCAAAAAAACAAATCTATATGCCTCTGGCGACAGAGGCATGTAGTTTAGACGTACCCTTAAGGTTTTTAATGGTGATGTTTACACCTCCGATGATAACTGATACATCATAAGAGAACATGAGGCATGAACTTGAATTGTTACCGAATAAAGCCCTTCTTTGTTACATCAGAGTAGTGATTTCAAGCCATACAGATGGTATCCCAAAGGACAACAAGAGATTCAAACTTCCAATGGCTGTTCATGTATTATTGGCCTCATGCTATCACTGTTGGGAGCTGAATTTATTCACATTCAAATATTATGCAGCAAACAGAGTTTTAGTTGATTTTCCTATACTGAAGAATCAAAAGAAGCAATGCCCTTTGAAGCAGAAACTACCTTATTATTTAGGCTTTACGCAAACGCAGCAGAATAGAACATCAGAAATCATGCACCCAAATGCAAACATGCCACACCTTTCAAAAACAGTTCAGTGTTATATGAGTAAACAAAAGCATATATTAGTCATTCACTCAAAATATGAATAGCTAATGGAGTTTATGAGATTAAACTGCCAAGTTTGTTGATTAGTAGCATGCAAGGTCCCCATATAACCTTTTAATTTAAGCCAGCACTGTATTTTTAAAAACATAAAACAACTAATTGCATATAAATGATCACGGTTATTAGCAACCAAAAGGTATTAGCAAAGAAAATGGCTACAAAAATCTTTCCTACAAGGTTTTACTTTTGGACAGTTAGTGCTCTCCCTCAGCTATCACATTTTGACCTTGAAAATCACACAGACCATAGTTGTGATTTGTAGTTTCATTAGCATAGCCACGAACCAAGCTACAAGTCTATTTTTATTAGCTTCTCAACCACTTTGCCAGCTATTCATTTGAATCTTCAAAATGTTTTCTAAACACTCATCTCTGAATCATAATGCAAATACCATTTACTGAAAAGGTGGAGCCTTTAATATAACAAATGAACAAGTTTAATGACCGATACTTTTATACATTACGGCATCTCTCATATTTTCAGTAAATGGATATAATTATCCCTACATTACCCTATTATTATCCTTCCTTTGTTACATTTTCAATTGCAATTTCCCCCCTGCCAATTCCCTTCTGAAGTCTACCCAAACAACAGGGTTTGGATGATATTAGGTTAAGGCAGGGATTCCCAACCTTTCTCCCATGGAGGAACCCCTAAAATAATTTTTCATATCCTGAGGAACCCTTACCTATGAAAACGTGTGCTTGGCCAGAAAAAGTTGACAGCGGGGAGTGCAATTCAATTACTGCTAAATTATTGTCAAGAAAATTTATTTGTAAAGAGCTGTTTATATATATATATATAACAATGTAAGCTGACATTATATATATATATATATATATATATATATATATAAACAGCTCTTTACAAATAAATTTTCTTGACAATAATTTGTAATATATATATGTCAGCTTACATGGCAAGAAAAAATTATTTATTTATTCCACAATTTCTCACAGAACCCCTGACGATGGTCTGCGGAACCCCAGGGTTCTGCGGAACCCTGGTTGGGAAACACTGGGTTAAGGACATTTCAGACCTAGGCTGGATATTACACATAAAATAATATTTGCTTTCTGAATTTAGGTCTCATCTTTAAATCTGTTCCAGGGATAAGGTTTTTTCAAAGTGTACACTGATTTTATATTAGAAGAAAAATCTATAACATATGAGTTTCATTTCAAAAGCAAATACATTCTGCTGTCTTATCAATCAAAAGACTGATCTCATCCCATTGTAACAGGCAGTTTTACCAGGAACAGGAATGAGCCAGCTATGCCATCCTCCCGAAGTATGCTTGTAACACCATTCATGTTTCTAGGAGTTATGCACATGCACATATACTTATCAAGAAGAGACTAGGCTACTCAAAGAGTACACAGATAAATAAAATGGGGTGGGGAAGAACAATAAACCATAAACGGTTCTGTGTGGGGCTAAAGAGACAACAGATATCAAAACAACTGGTAAAAACTAACCTACTGGAATGTACCATATAATATCACTTTTGATTTATAAATTTTACAACACTGAACTAAACTTAACTGACAACAATGTATGTAGTCAGACAAACCTGGTGTTTTGATTTCACTTTAAGATAAGAACTTAACAGAAAAAATTTTATTTGTCAGCATTTTATGAAAGCATACTGAATAAAGTACTTTTTAGCCCCTTACCCTAAAACAGACAGGCAGTATTGTCAAAATTTCATCAGCTTTTCTGAAACGGGCCTGATCCAGTAATCCTTACTCAGGCAAAGGGACCCTGTTCACACATATAGTCCAAGAGACTATTTACATAAGTAAGAAGAGCAGCGTAAGATGACATCATAAAATTATCTTATAATGCAAACACGGCTGTTTACAATTTGCGTTTTCTATGATTTTCACCTTGAACTAAAGCCCACTGATGTCAAAGGAGTCTTTCCCATTGAATGACACCTGATATCACTTGTTAATGTGTTAATGAATGAACAGTATGTGTGTTAATAGAGATAGAAATGTAGCCGTGTTAGTCTGGTGTAGCTAACACAAAATACAGGACTATGTAGCACTTTAAAGACTAACAAGATGGTTTATTAGATGATGAGATTTCGTGGGCCAGACCCACTTCCTCAGATCAAAAAGGAAGTGGGTCTGGCCCACAAAAGCTCATCATCTAATAAACCATCTTGTTAGTCTTTAAAGTGCTACATAGTCCTGTATTTTGTGTTAATAGAATAATTTGTAGATTCTATCATCTTTTGGGATAGAACTATATTCTAACCTTTTGAAAATCTCAGTGTGGCATATAGCAATGGCATCTTTTCATTTTTACTTGAAATTAAAAGTTACCAAACAGGTGTAGTGAGCAAGATTTGAAGTCTTCTATTCAGGTTCTTATACCATTCTCATCACTGTAGTATATCAGTGCTTTCCTGTACTACATTAAGCAACATGACTAACATCTGCCATGTGTTTGTTCTCTCCTCTCTCTAGGGGAAAAGTGTGCCCAGTGGACTGTTTTGTTGTGGAATTTTTTATATAACATATAGAAAGTAAAACATGCACACACACATGCAAAATGGTTAGAGAAAGTAAGATCAAAGAAGCGTACTTACACTTGGAACAGAAGATGGTGAGGTCTGGAATGGTCCTGAGTGACTAAGACAGCTCATTTTATAGGCTTAGAAAGATCCTGCACCCCCCCTCCCCACCGCAGAACACTGACTCCTGCACAGACCAGCTTTATCCTTACTGTAGAATGTTTCATTGTCCCTTTGGATTAGAGTTATCAACCACAGTTCCGGACAATAGAGGCATGCTGATTTCCATTAGCGGAAGCTAAACCCCTGCTCACAAATTAATTTAATCTCAAGTATGGGCTACATTCAACCCTTAGTTACACTAGTGAAATCACCTTGATTTCAGTGACGCTAATGAGCGTGAATAGATGTAACTAAGACCACAGTTAGGACTGTCTTGTGGATATTATTTTAAAGATGAATACTGTTGTGAAGTATAAATCATACTGAGGACCGGCTTCTGCAAAACAATAAAAAAACGTGTGCCCAGTTTTTGTACTGTGAGTGCCATCACAAGTCAGGTCTTGCAGGATTCTCCACTGCAGAAGCTGGGCATAATTGGTGTTCAAATTGTCCCTAAATAATGGAAACTTCATTCAAAGTAAAAATAGTCAGAATATAGCTGTGAGCAAATACATACCTCTTCCACTTCTACCCACAAATCTGAGGTCATTGAACCTTGCTACTTGGTTTTTCATGGCAGCTGTAGCATTTCTGAGCTCTGCAGAGTAGTTTTCATCATTTCCAGCCATTACTGTGACCAGTGTCCCATCAGGGACGTCGCCTAATGCCACTACCTGAAAAATTAAATAGAAGAGTCCTCAATCTTCATAAGTGACTTGTATCAGTAAATAACCTGATGAAAAGGGAGAAAGTAACAAATTATATAAATTAAAGCTATTTGGAGTAAATAGGATGTATTTCCAAATGTAGCTTATAGAGTCAGATACAAGTCTTTGTACCTATAGCTATCTAAGCCACCTAAATGTTCCTAAATATGTACAATATGCATACCATGCATACATTTATATTTATCAAAACAATAATAAATCAAAACAGTAGGGCCTGATTCTGATGTCATTTACATCAAAATAGGTAGGGAATAACTCCATCAAAGTCAATAGAATTATACTGATATAAAATTAGGGCAAATGCAAAACCAGGCTTATTGTCTCTTGGACATAATAGCATTGATTCCCCACAGTGTCGATGCAATTCTTTGACATGAAATGTCAGTGATTTCAATACTGATTTCCGACAGTTTTGCTCTGGTGCATCAGGCCCCAAAATATACAATTGATCGCTGTTCACAAAACTATTTCTTTTTCCCTTTTAGAATCAAGACTGTAAGTCAATAAAATCAGAACTGTCCTAAAACTTTGTTAAAATTGTAATGTGAAGTAAGAAAACCTGAAACATTTAAACTGAAAGCTTAAACTCTGTCACTAAAGTTTCCATTGTGTTTCTGCAATGACAATTTCTACAAAACATCACCTAAATATTTAGGAATGTACATTCTGCTACATTTCTGACACAATGTATATGCGATGTTTACATTTTTAGCTTCATCTTTTCCAGTTTCACTCAACTGTGTCACAGAGCTCATGTTCATTAACCATTTCAGTATTTAACTTCACCTTAAACTCCAGTTCTGACTTCACTTATCCTCATTTTACACTGGTGAAATAATAAAATAAATTGATTAAAATAAAATCTAGTTCTTTTTAGCTTCCTCTTTTATGCATTTTAAGAGGAAGTAAGTAGTCCTGCTTCATGTCCTCGGAGACACTACTTGATTTTCCTCTTCCTCTTAGCATTTTCTACTTTGTGTATTTAAAATGTCTCATTACTTTTCACAACCCAGTTTTATTTGTTACTCTCACATTACACTGATATTTCTAAATAGGTCCACAGCTTTTTTACCTACTCCCTTTATTATACTTAATATGAGAATTATTATGAGTAAGAAGCATTTCAATAGTCCCTTCCCTTACATAAGCTACATGCTGTACCTTCATGTTCTTCCATGTGTTCTAAGTAGTCTACAACCTTTATTCTTGATTCCACAAATAAAGTGGTGCTCATTGTGTCAAAATTCCTTCTTTGTACATATAATATTTCTACTTCCTCTTCCCCAGCCCTTCTTAGTAGCTTTTGTTTTTTGTTCTCATCAGTACACAGCAAAAATGCTGCATATTTAGTACTATATATTTCAAATCCTCCTGTTCTTGGCATGCAAGGTTTTCTATCTCCGGATTGTTGCGTGGCATGGCAATTTGGCTCTCAGAATCCACAATCATGAAGCTGATGTGCTTACCACATTTATTTAAAAAAGTCTGTAATAAAATTATTATTCTACTTGAAATTTTTAATACATATATAGGAAATGGAAGGAAGAACATTTAGGAAAACCCCATTTTACATGAATATGTGTATATATTAAGATAACAAATCTTCATAAATAACTGAGATAATGCTATTAAAATGAAAAATAATATGCTTAAAATTCACCATACTTTCAATTCACTGGAGGCAACATCATGATAAACAATTTGAATAAACTATTATAAAAATAATATAAAAACTTGAGTGTGTACACACAGAAGAAAAAACAAAAACTGGAATGAAAAGTCATAAGCGATATGCACTGATGAAATACAAATATTTACATTATAAAACAGACTAAACATAAGTAGGAACTTGCTGACTGGAGACATCTAGTATTTTGTTTTAAAGTTCAGCTTTAAAAAGCTTTTCTTCAGAGAGCTGGGCACAATATCAGCAAACCCACGCCACAGCACATCTGAACCTCCCAATCTTGGTCCATCAACCAAACAAAATTCAGAAGGTGTAACCGGGTTTGTCTGTATCTGCAAAAATGACAAAGTAGTTTTTACCCATGAAAGCTTATGTCCAAAGAAATGTGTTAGTCTTTAAGGTGCCATCGGGTGCCTTATTGTTTTCGCAAAACAAATTTGATCTTTAAAATTGGGTTTAGATGATTTCCTAACAGAGTGTTGAATAATTAACCTATATTACAATTTATTATTAAATTGCATCAATAATTGCAAGTTATATTAATTAAATTTCGTATCAGTTTCCTTTAATTTCCAATTAAATCCTGGCTGTCTTTGGTTTAAAATGGAATTCTGATTCTAAAGACTATATGCAATGTTATTTTTTAAAATCTATTTTATTTTATTGTTTGGATTGTAAAAGTAGGAGGAGACATGCCTTGCTTTTTATTGGTACAATAAGTATTACCTTAAAACTCCAGCTCATATATTTGAGCACAAGATCTTGGTGAGGATTTGAACTGCATGCTCTACAGCTGTGTATTAGGTGTTACCCAGCTTTCTCAAGAGATATATGATTTTCTAATTGATCAGGATTCTTTCAAAACGGATGATTTGGGAAATGCACAGTAATCTTTTCAATCAGAGTGTGTTGATTTCTATCAACAACTAGTTCAGGTCTCATTCCCCAGTGATAGTCGAGTGATGGTGAAGGGGGGGGGGGCTGGGAGCTGAACTTGAGAGCGAGTCAGAAAGCAGGTGGGTCTCCTACCAGACGATTTCGGAGGGTCACCTGGAAACGCTGCACCTTTGCTTCTGTGTGTGTGGTTTAAGTACTAGGAATTAATAATCTTGTCAGTATAGAGCTTTTGACGCCCCTACGTTGTTTGCAAAGTTATTTAAAACATACAGAGAGTTCCTAACAGAGAAGCAGCACAGTGGGACACTTTACTCCATCAATCCACCCTCTCTTCTGGCCTGGCGATTCACCTGACTGATAAGAGCTCTCCCCATTCACTACAAGCGATCGGTTCTGAAACAGGAGCGCTGCATGCATCACTTTCACCTGCTGGGTTATCCGCTCTAGTTTGGACTATTCAACAAGATTTCGGAGGCGCTAGGGGAGAAAAGGTGGCCACACTGAAAGTTCCGTCTACGTTTAGAAGGAGCCGGACAGGGCATGGGGATTAATCACATGATTGATTCATTCTCTTTCCAGATGAAAAAGCTTCCAGCGCTGCAGTGTGCGCCCAGTGTGCACTGACATAGAAGCGAATTCAAAAGTATCAGCCAGATTTAGAGACTTCGCTCTTCTAACACCTTGAGGGACTCAGAGGGTTTCCCCCAGTCCATTTTAAGCAATAACATTGCCTTCTAGTAGTATAGTCTCAACTAATTAGCTGTAGCTGTGTCCAGTTTAGTATGGTTAGTGGTTTAACAATTCATCACAGAGTGTGAAGGGGGATTGGGTTTTCGGAACTCATCATTTCCCATTTAATCCCCCCTTTATCCCGCCTCTCCCCGCTCTTCATAAACAAAACCCTCAGTAGGCAAAATAAACACTCGTATTGATCCTAAAGGCCCGGTTCTGATACATATTAAGAATTAGAGCTCAACTGATTACCCCCAAACAATTAAATGGCTTCTGAGCGGACCCGATTTGGCAGCGGTGAAGTTGGTGGAAAGAAAATCTGACCCGTGTGAAAGGAACAAGCGGGATCAAACTGTTATGCCCCCAGTCTTAAACGTAACCGTTTAACGCCAGCAAATGGTTCAGGGGGAGCGACACCTAACAGGGACTCATCCTTGGAGCCAATTTAATTTTTGGATTGTAAACATAAAAAGGAATTCGGCATAATAAACAAATGGCGAAAATCTGTAAAAGAACGGGCAAGAGGACTGAATCCACACAAGAAATCGGATCATAAAGAAAAGAAAACTGTAGCAGTTACTTTCTAAATATAATCTACATTCTTTATGCTACTTGATCGCAAAGACACACTGTACTGATTATTCAGGCAGACAAACACAAAACTTAGCGCGGTCCATTTTCAGCATATAGAACAAGCATGTGTCTTAGGGCCTGCTGAAGTTTGTGGGCATTTCTGTCTTTTTATTTTAAGAAAAAGCCCATACGTTGGAAGATGCGTGCTACAGCAATTACACGTATTAAAAGATCAAGAAAGAAAAAGAGCTGTTAAACTTCTCTTCTGTTTATTTCACCCCACCTTTCTAAGTGGAAGGTTGAGGCACCAGGCATGCCAGATCACGCATCCTTTCATCGCAAGAACTGCAGCACGCATTAATAGGTGGCCATGCTCTAGTGTTTCGAATTTGTGACTTCCATCGGAAGAAAAGCCACCATTTCAAATACGGATCTGCCAAGAGTGGGCTCGAGATAAAAATATTCTGGAAAATATTCATATATTTATCAGAGGTTTTTTTTTAACAAGATATTCACTCTGAATAAATCGCTGCCTAAATGAGTTACCAGTATAAAAATAAAAAAAGACCTACTCTACACAAATGGAGCTCAGCACCTCTTAAACCTTCAACACAGTTTAGGTGCGAAACTTTAGACAAGAAACTTGGAACATTGTGGCCTGTAGCATTGTATAGTCTGGCAAACATATAAATCCAGAAGCACCCCAGATTCTGATGCTTTAAGTGTCCTGTTCCCATTGTTATGGGTTATTTCTATGTACAAAAACATAGTACTGTACAGAAAGGGTCATTTTGGTTACTTGTATCCACCCTGTGATTGTGTTGCATCCTGTTACACAATGTAGTCAGGCACATTGCAGCTCCTTGTTCTTTGCTTTTTATAGAACCACTCCTTAAAGTTATGGGTATGGTATGGATGAGATGAAGAGACAGACTGGTTAGAGTGAGACTCCTAAGCAAGCGTCCCATCCCCACACTCTCCTATTCTCAGCTCTAGAAAGTGGTTCATGTTAGCAAGTCGTAACACTAATACTTCTAAATAGCAGGGCCAGCTATACTCATCGGTATACCACACTGCATAAAGGGCAATACAAGCAGCAATACAGGCTGCACGGAGCCGGTCCCTAAAGCAGCTCCGGGCTCCTTTGGTGGGAATATGCCTAAAATGAATAGGAAGACCCAGGCACAGATCCAATCTCAGTGATCCGCGCTCCAAGGGGCAGATTTACAGCTCTCTGGGAAGGAGTTAGGTGAGAGGAACGCTGGGTTTCTAGTCTTACCGTGTGTACAACAGAAGTTCCAAAAGTTTGCACATTGACTCAATTCCTCCCTTACGCCCTCCTCCCCCACCCTCAAATGCCTGGGTCAGAGAAGTGTTTAAAGACCAAATACCTTGAAAGCAATGGGCAGCGTTTTGTTGCACCTCCAATGCGTTGGGAGCACTGAGCAGAGGAAGTTGGGGCTGTCGGTGCGGACCAGCTCTCCGGGATGATCCGCTAGCACCTCCACCATGCTGCGGTCTGCGCTTCTCAACTTGCCCACCAGGGCGCCGCTGTTCTCCTGGCCAGCCAGCGGGAGCGCCTCGCTCATCTTCCCGGGGCTCAGAGTGGTGGAGGGCGGCGTGAAGCGGCGGCTGGTGCTGGTATCTACGGGGATACGCATCACAACAAGCCTGATGAGTGAAAAACTTCCCGAGAGTTCTTACAAAACAGCGACACGAGTGTAACTCTTCAGCGATCAGCTCTCTGGAGACCAACATAAACCGAGACAGGCTTAGCACGGGGAAAGGGGAGATCTTTTCTACGCCTGTCTGGCCCCAAAGTTTGCTGAACAGTTCTGAGGCAGCGAATACACTGAAATTTAACTGTTTGGCTTCCTTAGCCTGCGAAACAGAACAAGTTAATCCAGTAATCGAGACAATCTTCCGCACGGGGGGTCTCTAGGAAGGTTGCACATTTAGTCTTTGGCTGTTAGGAGAGTTTTTTGAGCAAAGCTTCCTCCAAAAATCTCGCCCACCGAGGAAATGTGTAGGCAAAGGATAGCTAAGTCACAAGTTCAGACACACAAGCTAAACCAGGATAATTTCCTATCAGTTTCTTCCAGGTGATTTTTCTAAAGTCCCAATAGAACACAAAATACATCAGTATCTTGCATAGACAGTAGCCGCTCCTTAAAATGGAGGGAAAATCGGCGTCAATCTTCAAAGAATACAATGCACAAGCTAGGATTTTCAAAGGTCAGCTGACTATGACAATGTATATATACACACAGACACATATACACTGTACTTCATCAAATATTTACAGTATAATCTGTAGAGAATTTAAACACAACAGAAATCCATTAATGGTCTCTGCCGGTTTTTTTTAAAAAGTAGCCTTGAAAATCAGCTTCAGTAGTTTGACTTGCATGGCTCTAGAAGTACTCGTGTCACGATCTGTCAGTAATTTTGAAAAAAAAAAGTTCAGTGCATGGAAATCAATGTGTATAGATATCAACTGTCTTTGGTACAAAGTCTCTCCTAAGTCTTAGAAAGGTCACAGCCGAACTCAAGCGCTGAGGCTTAAAAAGTCCACACATGGAAACGTGGCTTTGGGGATGTTGGTTAAATTGTGGGTTCTCTCTGTGGTTTGGTGTGTGCTACAGCTCTCTCTCTGTCTGTCTTTCTCTCTCACACACACGCACACACCAGAAGTCAACCAACTGTCTGCAGCAGCTTGGTGAGTCACTGCCAACTTTAAAAAAAAAAAAATCTCTGAGACAAGCTTCCTCTAATTCGGCCACAGCAGCCAGCTGCTTAACAATGTTTTAACCACAGCAGGTGGAAGGCTGCTTTCGGAGACACGGGGGGTTTTCTCTTGTCGACCCCCCACTCAGCGAGAGTGATACTGAAAAGCCGCCCAGCCGCAACTAAACGTCCGCTTGCTGCGAGCCTGCCTTGCAGAAAAGACAGAGGAGCCGGGGCCCTGGCGCGCGCGCACTACCCTCACGGCAGCGTGACCAAAAGTTCGCAGACGCGAGAGAAGTTACAGGGTCCAGCCCCGCAAAAAGCCCATTTCCAGCGCGGAGAGAGCTTGGCAGTCTTCACGTGTCCCCGCAGATCACATGGAAAGCTTCCTCCCCGGCTGCCTACGGAGCGCCGGCTACCCAGCGTTACGACCTTCTGTGAGGAGCTGTTTATTTGCTCATGCTGATCTGGAAAGCCTGGTCCTCCCGCCTCCCTTGCGCCTTCTGGCTCTATGAATGGAGATTGACTGGAAATGAATTTGCCTTTACAGTAAGAGTGCAGAGGAATGTCATTCCCTCAGCTCTTTTGCATAGGGGGAGGACGCCGGCCAATCAGATCCCTTTCCGGTATCAGCCAAGGGCGCGGCTCCAAGCCGGGGGCTCCTGGAATTGGCTCGGGCGCTGCCGCCGGAGCTACTGTAGAGAGTCGAGCGCCTAAATGTCAATGGGATGCCGCGGCCACCCCAACACACGCACAGAGGCACAGATCATGTGCGGTTGCGGGTGCGCCTCAAACCCCAGCGCAATCGCCGACTGCAGGGGGCACTCAGCTGCCTGTCTGTGATTTGCCAAGGAAGATTATATGCAGGGAAAACAGCACCAGGGTGGGGGCTGACAAGCAACCCCCTAACCAAAACCGCCCCTTCAGAATCCCTCCGAGGTTTTCACGGCAACTTTGAATTACGTTTAAAGGCCACTTCTACTAGGCAATTGATTGATGGGCCCCTGCGGTGTCCGACTAGGGCAGGGTTAATTGACCCTAATCTGCCTTCCATTGAAATATTACTCTCCCTGGCACCAAATCACTTGAACTTGATCACAATGACTGACTACGTTGACATTTGCACCCACAATCCCCGCAACACAGTTCTGCAAGGCTATCTTCTCCTCCCCCCTTTAATTTGTCACTTTTTCCTCTCTCCCTGGAGTCCTTTCAGATCTATACAATTTCAGTGTCTTACACACTCCTGAGCTTTGCACATGTGCACATCGTATGCATCCACCCACACCTGGGCAAGGGTCGCATGTAGCTGGAAAGCTTGTGCCTCTCACCTACAGAAATATGTCCAATAAAAGATATCACCTCACCTACATTGTCTTCCTAGGATCTGGGGGAGGGGGGAGTCTTTGGCAAATGTCCACTATAGATACACCTGCAAATCACCTTTTAAAAAAGGACAAACCAGCCAGCAAGAGGATATGGCAATGCAGGGGTTACTGGCACTACCTGTGTTTTTGCCATTCTCTGGTGTTACACAGCCCCAAGAGAAATAAGGTTTGAGTAACATTGTGGGCCCAGCAAACTATAGCTTGCACAAGCATTCACTTTTTTTTTAACCACAGCAGGGTTTTTTCCAACTGTCCTTTGCTCTGGCCTGCTTAGGATCTGCTTCTGTATGACTGCTCTGGTGGTGCCATAGTAGCAGCTCAAGTCATAGATCCAGCTGAAAAATACAGCTTCTTCTGCACCCATACAGTGAGATTGGTAATGCAATGATTTCTATAAGAGTGACTACTGAATTTTTTAAACTGTTGCCTTTGCTAAAAAGGGGTCATCCCGTTGTCCTCTCTCATCCTATATCCTAGCTAGTCTTGCCCCCCCCCTGAAATTTCACATCACTGCTAACTAGATAGAACAGGGGTTACCAAGGCTGGCTTCTGCTGGTGCCTTTTCTAAACTTATGCTCCTCCTAGGATAGATAGCGGAGCTGAATTGGTGGTAGTATAAATATGGCATCTTGTGGGTAAAATATATATACACAAATCTATAAATAAGGCCAGCATGACCTACCATAATGGCTCAGCAGGCACTGTTTGGCACAGACCCTCCTTGCCACCAGCCGCATTTAAAGAAGTCAAGACTTAAAACTGTGCAAATGATTTAATGAAATTACATTTCTGGGCCATGACAGGTCCAGCACTCCTTGCAGATAAGCCTGCCTCTGCCTGTTTATCCTTCCCAGAAGAGATACCCTAGAGAGGCAGCCTCTCCTTCTTTCATGCTTCTCACTCTTGCAGGAGACTATTGCTGCTCCATCCTTGCTTCTCTATCTGTGCCACATCAAGGGCCAACCCTTCCCCCTCCTCCCATCAGGAGGGAAAGGCTCAGCAACGGCTCCCACACAAGGATATACTGGGTATGGATGGTGTAGGGCGAGGAGGGGCGATAGCTGCAGAGCAGGGACGAGGGGATCGAGAGAAACAACAGCTGGTCCCCCAGGGGCAGGGGGCGCGAGGGAGCGGGCATGTTACTTAAGAACACCATTGCTGAAAGCTGCAGTGTGGCAAGAGCGAATGGAGAGGCCCTGCCCTGCCTTTCACTGCAAAGAGGAAGCGGGAGGCTTGTTCCTTCTCTCCGAGCGGCCTACGGTTTATTGCGCAATCGGAAAAAACCCCGCCACCCAACCCAACTCCTTCCTCCCCCGCGAAAGCAAACAGCAAATAATCCCCGGGGATGGCGGTGGCGCTGCTCCGCCTCCGCCCACCCCCCTGCAGCACTGCGCAGCGGACAGCAGAGGGAGCCAGCCTCCTTCCTTCACTCGCCTCCGTGCAGAGCCGGGCGGGGAACCAGCCCGG